TCCATGGATTGACTGGTAGAGAATGCCTCATGGCACTAAATCTGCCATTTGTATTCATTTGTTTTAAGGAATGCAATAAAGAATAAATAAATCAATTAATGAAAATAATATATGCTTTTAAAAATATACTACTTGTGTAAATTATTTTTTTTTTGCTGTGGCAACCCCAGTGACAAATAGGTAAATAATTTGCTCCCAAATAATTTCGTAAAAATAAATATTGTAATTGATAATTTCCAACTCAAATTTAAGTTATAGTTGTTAATTAGGAACAATTTGTATTGTGTAATAAATAAAAGTTGGTAAATATCTAAATAAATAAATTTTTAGTGCCTCTCAATTTAAAGTGACAGCAGGTAACGAACATCGTTTAAAAGTTACTGTAATTCTTGTTATCCCTTTTAATATTTACGATATATCTCTTAAGTTATGTTGTTTGCGGATTTCATTTTGAATTGTTTTTTTGATAATTTAATTTGAGATCTGTAATTAGAGTCCTACAATTGGATATTTGCTTACTCTGTTCCCTTGATTTTCCATCTTTGTTTTCTTTTACTATTTAAAATATATAGTAAAATGAATACTCGCAACGCCAAAACGCGCCAGATGGAGAACCAACTTTCATCTTGCGCTCCAAGAACTGAGGGCGTCCAGGGAGCAGTGTGAGCTATTACTTAAAAAAAGGGATGACAACGAAAATGAAATAATAAGCATAATTTCGAAAAATACACAGTTGAAAAGTGATACGGTTAAGATACGTAGAGACTATACAGATATTTTTAAGGAAAGGGATCAGCTCCAGGGGACAGTCGATGAGTTTGACCGATGCAGCAAAGAATATTAGGAAGCCCTCAGATTAATTGCTACATTGAAATTACAATTTACTGAAGCTACTGCAGATTTCACAATTTAAACAATACATTGATAACTTGCACGCATTTCAAACTCAGAGTCTGTTCGATGAGCTCGTAGAATGTAAATCTCATAAAACGTTGCAACCCTCCACAACAATAGATTTGACTAAAGATTCTACCACATCAATAACAGCAGAAAGGATTACAAGCAGCTGAAGGAAATTAAGAAAATATATAAAAATCAGTAAATATATTAGGAAAATGCAAAAATTAGTTAGAACTTAAATTAATATTAAAAATTATACAAATGTATGTAAGGAAAAGCAAGAGTTAATTAGTAAAATTTAAATTATATTCAATTGAGGTGAAAAACATGAAAAATTGTTATGAGACTGAAATAGTGTCTTAATTCAGAAATTTTATCACTTCAAACTTCATTACAAATTATGTCAAATAAATATAAATCAGCTGGGAATGAGATAAAAGAACACATACTGGCCATGGATAATCTGGTAAAGTCATGTAAATATAACGAGGAGCGTTTTAACTCCTTATTAAAATATCAAAATGAATATCAGCGCTCAATGCCAGGTTCTTTAGGGACAGTGTGTGTAATAACAATGACAAGCAGTAATACTTCATTTTCTTTACCTACCACTCTATGATAGTACCATAACAAAGCAGATAAATTTAAAAAGTAATTCATATAATGAAAAAAATATAATTGTGTATACTAATGACATAGGCAAAAATTTGGGTATATCATTGAATAACTGTTTAAAAAGGCAACAGATAAGTAATTACTGCATGCCTGGAACATCATTCAGTGATATTATGAATAAAATTTTAACTAGTAAATTTAACCCTAATAGTATATGAATAATTTTTGTTGGGACAAGAGGCAATATCAACAAGAACCAATTATTAAAATATATTGAATATCTCTTATAACATAAATGTGGTTAGTAAGTTATCTTGTTTACATTGCCTTACATAGAGGGGTGGCCACAGGAAAATAAACTAAGATATAATTTAAATATAATGATACATAATTTGACATGTAACAATAACTTAAATTTGACATTTAATTGTAAGAATAATAATGATAAATTTCATTTGGTTGATATTAATAATTTAACTAAAAAGTTTTTGACAAGAGATAGGTATTACCTATCAAAGTTTAGTTCGAGACTGGCAGCAAATATTCTATATAAATCTTATTATTTATATTTTAACCCAGCCAAATTATTGGCTACCTTAACACCTGCTTTTATTGAGCAGAAAAATAATTTTACAAATGATTTGCAATTAGTTCCAAGTAATTTAAATTAGATAATAAGATCAATAGAGGTAATCTCTAGCACAGATAATTTAAATATCTTAGAATACAATTCAACAATACTTAACTGTGTAATTTCACAAAATAGCAATAATAAAAACTGTATTAACCTGGTGCATCAAAATATACAAGATATGTTAGGCAAAGAACTAGAAATTGAATTATTTTTAAATAGTAACCTTATTCATATTACATTATGTATTACTGAACATTGGTTGAAAGATTACAACTCCATATTTAATTTCAGTAATCACCAGGTGGTCAGTTCATTCAATAGAGATACTAAATTACGTGGTGGCTCCTTAGTATTAGCTAATAAATCCTTATCATGTAAAGAACGTAAAGACATTGTGAGCCTCTCTGTTGAGCGTACTGTAGAAATGGCATGTGTTGAGCTTGAAGAAAATTGTGTTTGTTCCTATTAATGCAATATGCCTGGAGAGATTTAGAAGTAATATGGTAAAAAACCTTCCATCGCTTTCTTATAAGAACAATGCAGACTATTTATATGGAGACTTATTTACCCTTATAAGCAATAAATTTAAAAAAACATTTACTTCTAAAACATTCTCCAGAAACAGTCGCAAGGCATTTAATGAGTGGGCGATAGTAGGAACTCATGAAAGCAGACGAAGGTTATATGACCTTTACCATGAAAGATCATATAATCCTTCAGATGCTTTTAAAGAATATGTCAAAAATTATTCTAAAATGTTTAAAAGAGTTTGCTCCACAGCCAAATCGTTACATATTAGCAACAAATTTAAGACGGCTAAGAATAAAATTAAAATGACCTGGAGTATAATTAACAGCGAAACCGGTAAAGAAAAACCTCTTGACTCAAACTATCAATTAAAAATTAACAATGAATTGACTAAATCAAATCAAGAAGTTGCAGCGGTGTTTGAGAAATATTTCACTCATATTCCTATCTTGACAACCGAGTCATTGAATACTTCTCCAACTGTCGCCGAGTCATTACTCAAACAGAATGTTGATACCTGTTTAAAAGAATTTAGATTTGAAAAAGTATTACCGCAAGATATTGTACTTCAAAACCATTGATGTAAAGAAAACCGTAGATTTGTGGGGGATTTCCGTTACAGTTATTGCGTCCGTAATAGATTTAATTGCACTTCATCTTGCTATTATTTTTAATACTTGTATCGATTCTGGTGTGTATCCTGATTTAATGAAGTATAGTAAAGTAATACCTTTATTTAAATCTGGTAGTAGATTGGACCCCGCTAATTTTAGACCTATTTCTGTACTACCAACTCTCAGTAAAATTTTTGAAAAAATAAATTTGTGTCAATTGTTAATTTTTTTTTAATACAAATAAATTACTTCATAAAAACCAATTTGGTTTTACAAGGGGTCGCTCGACGTCTGACGCCAGTGTTGAAATATATTTTTAATGCCTGGGAGAATTCACAAGATGCCTTAGGTATTTTCTGTGATCTTTCCAAGGTTTTCGATTGTGTTCATCATGAGACTTTAATCAGGAAACTACAACATTACGGTGTAAAAAATTTGGCGCTTAGACATATTACTTCATATTTAAGTAACAGAATTCAAAAAGTCGTGATCAATGGTAAAAGTTCCTCCGGATCGGTAGTATCAATGGGCGTTTTTCAGGGCTCGATTCTTGGCCCATTCCTGTTTTTAATCTATATTAATGACTTACCTTATCTTGTAGAGGACCATCACGATATAGTATTATTTGCTGACGATACCTCTTTAATTTTCAAACTGAAACGGCAGTCAATTAAATATGACGATGTAAATAATGCTCTATAGAAATTAGTACATTGGTTTAACGCCAACAATATGCTCTTAAACGGCAATAAGACAAAGTGTATTAAACTACTAACCTACTAACCTAACCTAACCTAATGTAAAACATTCGAATACCAATGTGCTGTTAAATGGGGAGGAGTTGAGTCTTGTGGATACTACTGTTTTTCTCGGTATTATTATTGACGCGAAACTTCAATGGGGCCCCCATATATCTAAATTAGCAAGCAGACTTAGTTCTGCAGCATATGCTGTAAGAAAGATTAGAAGTCTCACAGATGTTGAGACAACTAGATTAGTGTATTTTAGTTACTTTCATAGCGTAATGTCTTATGGAATTTTGCTATGGGGTAATACGACTGATATTGAAGCTATATTTGTTTTGCAAAAGAGAGCCGTTCGGGCGATATATAACTTAAATTGTAGAGTCCTTCAGACAAAAATTTAAAGAAATAAACATACTAACTTTAGCATCGCAATATATTTATGAAAATGTAATGTATGTACATAAAAACATAAATAGCTTTAATAAGAATAAGGATGTGCATACTTTAAACACTAGGAACAAACATAAGCTTGTAATACCAGTTACTAGACTCCACAGAATCAGTAATTCATTTATGGGGCAATGTATACGCTTTTACAACAAAATCCCAGAACATATTCAAAGTTTGTCAATAAACAAGTTTAAAAGTTTTGTTAAAGAAAGACTGTACAAAAAGGGTTATTATAATATCAAGGTATACATGAATGAAAATAACCCATGGGAATAAGGTGATCGCCACCATGCTGGTTCTATGATAAATCATTTAAAAATTGTATAAACGAAATTATTGTTAAGTGAAATGTGTTTGAAAAAAAAAGTCCCGCTGGGTTTCTTGCTGGTTCTTTCCAGGCCAGAGGTATTTTCCGAACCAGTGGTAAATAAAAATTACTTTCAATAAGAATTATGTAATAATTAATATTGAAAAAAAATTAATCTATTCAATTCTATTCTATTCTATACAAACCTGTTGAGGGATTGTCCATTTAGATATCACATTTAAAATTCTTGTTTCACGTTCATTGCGTCTACTGAGATAGTGATAGCGGCTACGTTGGAGTGCCCTTCCACAGTTTATGCAATGGATACGCCGTATTGGTGATGGTTGGATTTGTGTATCCAGAGTTGTTGTCTCAGATACTTCAGGTGATTGAACATTTTGATGAATGTCCATCAAAGTATTCCTTGTTGCTGGCATAGACTCTATATTTAGAACCGCTCTGTCAGCCCGGCACCAACAAGGATGGCAAATAAGACTTGATGTTGTCACCTAAAATAAAAAACACCTTTATATAATAATAACTATGTAAATATTGCTTTAAGCATTGTTTTATAAAAATGCAAACAGTGGTTAAAATGTATGCCTGCCGACAGTGAATCTCAAAGTCCTGAGTTACGATTCCTGGACCAGGCCAAAAAATTGTAGGTTTAAGTTCTTAACCCCCAGTACTGTGTGTGATAGGCTGCAGTCCCAGTTATTATCACAAATGGGATAGAAGTTGTTAAGACTCTCCAACCCTAATTGGTGCAACATAGAGGGTCTATCCCTCTCTAACATGAGAGTAGAGATATGTGCACATAGGCAGACATCAATAGGCTGTAGCAAGCAATTGAATACTGAAAATAAAAAAGGGTTTAAGTGACACAATACCAATTATAGTTTTTATTGCAGAAATGTATACTATGCCCTAAAATATGCAATAAGTGCCTAGTTGCTTTTTAACTCGCACATAAATCCAACCAAACAGAGCGGGGGGTACAAAACGCGGGGAGCGTAATTGTTTAAAAAGATGATCTAAGTTGCAATCCATTGAGACACCAGTGATATGCAAATGGCAGCTCTTACACCTTGTGTTGTTGCGAGTGAGGGTAAAAAAAAAGTCTAAAAAAGTGTGAAAACAGTAAGTTGCGAAAAAAGCATTAAAGGATGCTGGAAAAGAGTATTCCACATCTCGTAGAAAGCTAATTCCGGCAAAGAAACCGCCCAGAGTTGAGGTAATTCGATTTTTATTATTTTAACTTAAACAGTGAATTCAAATGGCCAATCGCATGGCATGGAACGCTAGGGATGTGAAATGTGCAGTATTACTATCGCATAGCATATTTTTTATATATTATTATTACATTAATATGTACTCAAAATATGCAAAACTCTTGTTGCAGACCACAAATTGAAAAGCAATCAATCTTTTTAATGAACCTTATACATTCTAGGCCAGTAAAAAGAAGGAAGCATGGTAAATATAAAACACAAGAGCAGAGCAGACGGCAGTGCACTGCATTTTATATTGTACCAAATGGAAAACGTAATGTCAAAAAGCAACGTTTGTCGATTTATTTGCGGTTTCGCAAAAAAACTGCATGTATTAGTTAAAAGGAAAAAGGAAGGACACACAATTTATATTGAAAAAAGAGGAAACAAAAAACATTTTACAAAGAGTGATGAAAATAATGCAATACATAAAGGAGAAAGAGACATCTCCATACATATTTGGGCCCAAGTGTTAACAAAATGAAAGTAAGAGTAGAGAAAGAGTATATATAAACAATTTATAGCTGAAAATCTGGTAAGATTTGTCAATCTAGGAACTGAGTTATTGTAGAATAAGTAAAAGTGTGATTATCTATTACCTACACTGTAACAGGTGATTTTTCACTGTTATTACACTGTAACAGGCTATTTTTCACTATAATTACTTTAAGATATATAAAAGCAGGATCAGTATAAAATCACCAAAAAGGCGGTGGTTAATACAATAAACAATACATAAACATCAGTTAGAACTTCACCAAAGATGAGCGGAAAGAGCTACTATGCAAACGTCTTTTGACGTTAATGTTAAGAAATCACATATGCCAAGCAGCATCACATTAGTAACATCCACGGGCTCACAGCAAGTTATCGTCACTCCAACCCTTACTCATGGTGCTATGTACTATCTCTGTCAACTGTCCAATTATAAATCTAGAAGTAATGTTGAAAACTCAGACGATGGGTACATGTTAATGTGGAATGAGAGCATCACGGGTAGGGGAGGAAATGAGATTGCACCATGCATTTTCAAATTAATGAACAACAAGAATATATAATGTAAATATAATGATATTAAATAAAAACAATTTAATCATGTGAAGTGACACTTGCTGCGGCCAAAACAAGAACAAAATGTTTTATATTTGTCATATCTGACATATAAAAGTGTTTAAAACTATTGAACGCAAATTTTAATCAGTGGGCACTCGTTTTTATCATGCGACTTAGACTGCATTAATCGAAAAAAGAAAATGCATGTCTAACTGCATAATAATCATAAGATCAATGAGGCTGAATAAAAATTGTAAGACTTTTTTAGAATTACTATTCTGTTTACCAAAATTATCCACTCATTCATTTTAAATATTTATGATAAGTAATTAGTGTGAAATTGTGATATTTATCCTCACTTATATTTACCTAATATATGCTAAATTGTTTGTTGATTTTTGCTTTGTCCTTTAATTACGCTGCAACAGAGCAATGGATCAAGGTTTTTTTTTCCACGGTAATACTGTAGGAACTGAAGAGTCACATAGGCTAATTTCATCCCGGAAACACAAACAATTCTCACAAGATAGCATGCTCTTTTATACTAATTTGTCCTTCATTCAAGACCTATGAATAAATACAGTTTTTCCCTGAAAATTGACATAATATGCTACGATTTTTCCCAGGAAAATTGAAAAAATTAAACATAATACAGGTAATAACTAGTGTTATCATAATAATAAAATAATTTGTCACATAACTAGTGTTTAATGTCGTGGTTATGAGCCTTAGCACCAATGCTAAATATTATTATGAACTTAGACCTTATAAAATGATAAGTCTGATGCATCTTTTAAGTTATTACGTGAAGTACTTAAGATTTTCTTCAGAAAAGTATATTAATAATTCAGTCAATTATTTACTATACCACTTTTTAATTACTATTATATGATCATTTGAGTGTGGCAATAGAAATGACATCAAAAAAAATTCAAAAACTGAACTGTAACATAGGCTATAATTTCATATTCAAATTTCTAATTGTTTTTGTTTTGGCACTTGAAGTGTTTTTTTTAATTTCTGGTATTCAATCAATAACAATACTTACATGATGAAGTAAGTTCCATTGTTGTATTACATTAAAAATGTGTGATTCCCTGTCATTATCTCTCCTTAATTGATGAGATCTAATTCTTAACAAAGATCTGCCACAGTTAACGCAGACCTGGCGGTGCCCAACTTGAGGTTGTGACAGTGTAGACAAATTAATGGATTCACTAGCAAGTGTCCAGCAGGCTTGGCATAAATGTTCATCACGTGTAACCTGAAAAAATAAACAATTTTAAACTACTATTCATTGATATACTCATTTTTGAATACCAAGGTATTTCAGTTACAGTAAAATAACAAGTATCAAAAATTGCTACAATTAACAACTCCAAGATTTACTGATTTTAGCAGCAGATGATTAAATAGGTACATATTCACAATGGAGCTTGCTTCCTTTGGTTACAAATTATAAATATTTATATTATATAGGTATTATTGAATAATCAAAAGATCGGACATTAATCTGTCAAGCCTTTGAAGTACACATGAGGCAATCCAAGGTCAACTTTGTAGAACGCTCCAAAGAGTATGGTAATATTTAGAAAGGACCCCTCAGAACCAAAGAGTATATGATCACTACACTACGTTTAGTCAGAACCATAGTTATTGTGCTCATAACAATTATTTTTTAAATGTTATTTAGATGAACTATAAAACTAAAATTTTATTAGAATTAGTTTCGTTATTAAATTACGCTTCTTTAAATTAACAGAATTTACTTCAAATGACGAGTTTCCGCCTCGCGTCGCGTTTACGTCACATACTTTAGTCTTATATCCTTCGCCGCGTGAGTGTAAGAGGCAACTAGAAATTTTACAAAAAATTAAGTGGGTACAATAGAAAGTTTTTTTGTTAGTTTTTATACAAATGGTAAGTAATTACACTGTTTTAAAATTTAATTCCTTATGTTTTGCTTCGTAACAATTTCATATATTTTATAAAATTGCCATTTCAAATACTGTGTCGTTCACGTATCACTATATTTAATAGCCAGAATTAACTGAAAAGTAAATAAAAAGTGTGAGTTATCACAATAAATCATGTAATAAACACAAATTTTCATATCCCACAAAGTCCAATGCGCGAAAATTACGTTTTATGTTATAATTTCGATATATAGTGAACATTATGGCGAAGTTGTTTTCAACAATAACTAAAAATAAAAATGTGAATGTGAAGCACCAGCTTTCAAATAAAAAAAGAATCATCGAAATCAGTTCACCCAGAAGGTTATGAGGTAACACACATAAAAAAACACAGTCGACTTCCTTCTCCTGTTTGAAGTCGTTAGAAAAATGGCGTTGCTCAAAGATAGCGTAATAAAGTATATACTTTATTACGCTATCTTACGGATGTACAAGTATATACCTGTGATTTAATTTTTTTTGAGGCTTCTACTGAGTTTATCGATATAATTATATTATATATTTCTTTTCTTTATGAAAATCAAGTGTTTCTATGTCCTTGTTTCTTTTTTCATAATATTTATTCGATTTTAACATATATATATATATATATATATGTATATTGAATTTTAACATAATATAGCGATTCGTTAGATTTGCCTTAGTTGTAAAAGTGAAATAATATTTACTTTTTTTTCTTTTCAGTAGAATTGTTTGGTTTTGTTATTTAATATTGTTTTAACCATTGAACTTGTTTACGCAACTTTTGTTTAATAAATTGTTTGATGCTGTTTGATGACTTTTTTACACATAATTGTTTACCACCGGCGGATTTTCCGGACCGATACGACTTAGGGACCTTCAAGAAAAGAGCTTACACCTTTCTAAACGGCCGGCAACGCATCTGCAATTCTCCTGGTGTTGCGGTTGTTCATGGGCGGCGGTAGTCACTTACCATCAGGTGAGCCGCATGCTCGTTTGCCCCCTCTTCTATAAAAAAAAAACACAAAAATATTTCTTTAAATAATAAAATTAATCCCTCCCTCTCCTTACAGTTTCATTCCACTGCTGGTGATGGACCGTTACATCCTATAAAAACCCCCAATGAACATAGGCCTCCACTATATTCCTCATAGAGGGTATACTTGTCATAGTTGCCACGTTCTGTTCCACGGTACACGTACCTTGTTGTATTGAACAGTGGATCAGTCGCCTCTTACGAAACCCACGGAATAGTATGAATATTCATACACCGCCACTACACAGTAATTGATAATTTCTCGAAACATTTCATTTATCGACAAATCGTCTTGCAATCGTCGTCACTCTAGCGCTCACTTGACCTTCATATAAATAATTCGATATTTTAATTGTTGATAATTTTTTATTTTTGGATATGAACATAGTAATGACTCTAAGTTATTTTTACCATTTTTTTAAAAAATCGTCTGGCCTGACCTACTATACTCTTTGGCTTGACCATAGTTCTAACTAAATATGTCCAATAAAATGTCAAGGTCTGAGAGGTTAACCATACCATGCTATTGTATCTTCTAAGAAATTTCACTGATGGTTAAACTACCGCCATCTAGTCATTGATTTATGAAACACTTAATACTTTTTTATTTATAGCGGCTCCGTAATCTTGCATTTTTAGCTGCTTTACGTAAATCAATCAAGTTAGTGTGGCCGCCACAAAAAAATCAAGCATTATTAGTAATAATTCTAATGATAGGTATAAAGGAAATTGTAAAAAGGAAATCCTGTGTTATTAAGCAAATTATTGTTATATGTTATTGCATATATTAACTACATTTAAAAAAAATTGGTGTTACTAAACTTATTTATTTTTGACCATGAGGTTTATATTATACTCGTGACAATCTAAGAAGCCCGATTTGACAGCTATAAAAATACTTTGTGTATTGTTGGGAAAAAAATTGGTTGCTTTAAAAACCGATTCTCGAGATATATATATTATTTAAAGTTTGTAATGGACAATGTATGTACATAGTTTAAAACTGATTTTCAGGGCATATCGTTTTAATACATGATCGAGTGTGTAATATTTAACAGTTATTACATAAATCCAAACTAAGTTTAAATTTGGGCTAGTTTCAAAGCCAAAACATATACTAAAACCCGACATACTGATTTCTTCCGGAAGGTTTACGTATATCAGTGGCGTGCCTGCATAATATACATTGTATATTATGCAGGCACGCCACTGATATGCACTCGCACGAAGCCAAGGCGGGTCGCTAGTCAAGAATAAAATAAACATTAAATAAGTGTGGTTGGGTCAGTTAAATAAATAAATTCACTGAATTCGTAACATTTTTATTCATTTTCGTCTCTGGAAGCTCCAGAAAAATTATCATCAGTTGAACTGTCTTCATCGATTAACCTTATAATAAATTCACTTTCAATCAAATTGTCAAAATGTACGTCTCTTCTAAAGTTTTCCGTTATAATTTTTTTTGTCCTTTCTACTAAATTGATCCAATCATCTTTTGTGACATGTGAACATGCTTCTTTAAGAAAACCAAGCGTTTTTTTTTTTTGTGGTGAATGAAGGTTTTGTATTTTGACGTGCTCCATAGCCTGTAAAAGATTTAAAGTTATAATAACTACATTCTTTATTCTCTCGTGCAGTCAAACGGCTGGATAGGTTCTAATAAATATGGCATTCAATCAACTATAAAAATAGGACAGCAGTCAGCCGCTCTATTAGGCGAAATATATCTACTAATATTATAATGTTCCTGGATTATTTTTTTATAAACGTATATAAAATATATATTTATAAAACGTATGCAATCGTTCCTTTTAGATTAAAATATTTAAATACTAACCTTGAACTTGAGCCCAAATCATCTCTATAGCATTGTATTGACGATGGTATGGTGGGGTCCTTATAATTTTATGCCCATGTTCCTGTGCAAACTCATCGATGGCGTATTTTGGCCTCACAGGTTTCTTTTGTTTGACTAACAAACAAAATAAACCTGTGAGGCCAAAATAACTAATTTGAACAGTTCTGCTTTCAATAAATTCAAGTCAGCATCCACACCATGATTTTGTAGCCCTGTGTGTAGTGTGTGCAATTCATTATCTTCAGCCACGAGGCCCGTACTTTTCCTTTGTAATATTTCGGATTGTTTTTATGCCAATTCCAAGCGCTTGTGCGACTCGTTCGTGTACTTGGGTAACTTCTAAAAGAGGCTCTCTATTTGCTGACTCGTTCAAAGTACTCGTGCAACTTCAAAACCAAGTCACGAGACTGGTTGTTAAGAGTACGTCCTCTTTTGTACATGTTGTCTAGTTCACATGATAACACCAAAATCACGTAATGCGTAATCAAAGTCCTGAACTAGCAAGCCAAGGTCAACGAGTATATCAGAAACAGTCCAAGAGTGATAGCTGAGTCAGAAAATATAATAATAACCAATAACACAAAAAGCGAGAGACCGCGCAAAGCATTGATGAATCAATGACTTAGAAGGAAAAAAATGGAGGTTAAAATACATTTTTTCAATATCAAAGGATGAACTCAGGCTTTTTTAGCCAAACTGTTTCCAATATTAACATATTAAATATCAAAATAAAGCTATAAATATATGGTCAGATATGTGGTCAGATTTTGTTCTTATATGTTTAAACATTAAATAATAAATTTCTTTCTTTTCTAAATGTAAAAGTATCGATTTTTCAGAACATCGATTTTATTTGGCTCAAAAACGGTTTATAACGGTCACAACACTACGGCAACGAATCCAAAAACATGTCATTGTAATAACGTTCTGTCGGAATATTAATCAACGATTAATTGGTGTTTTTGAGTGCATATTTCCAATATAAAGCGAAACTTGGTGCTTACGAATGATACTTCTTGTTATACTATATGGATAACATAGTCCATTTAAGATTGTGAATTTGATTTTTCGACTTCTTACATAGACGTTCATACAAAGTTATCAGGACAAGTATAACGATAAACGTTTCTCGTTATTCGTACTTCTATATTCGTGACAATCTAAGAATAGATTGTCACGAATATAGAAGTAGTAATAGTAAGAAATAGAAGTTTTAACTTCGTTTCATTAGGCAACACTGAATGAAATTAAAAAAAAATTATAAGACATGTCCGTCGTCTTGTGCATGTGTTTATTTCTTGTGATTTAATATTTTTGAGTGTTTTATCGCTATTGTTTATGTATTTGCGTCGAGTAATGTATTTGCGTCAAGAATGTGCTTTAAGGTAGACTTTGTAATTGGTGCTGTGACATAAATATAAAAAAAGAGTTATAAAATAATATGTTAATTTCAACTCTTTAATTTTTATGATGGTTTGTAGTTAGTTACTTTACATATGTGCAGACAACATGGAACTTTATAACATCTCACGTTTGTTAGAATTTTATTTTCAACATATCATTTAAAATTGTGAAATAAAAATAAAAATGTTAACAATACTAAAAATCTTTCTTTTTGTCCCGCATTTTATCGAGAGTATTTATGCAGATTTCTAAATAACAGTTTTTTTATTGTTATT